ATGAGAGCCATCCTTACTGGCATTAAGTTGGTATCTCATTGTACTTTTGCTTTGCAATTCTCTGATGATTAGTGAGGCTGAGTGTTTCTTCATGTGTCTGTTGGCTGCTCTAATATCTTCCTTTGAGAGGTGTCTGTTCATGTCCTTTGCCCACTTTTTAATGGGGTTGTTTGCTCTTTCTAGTCAATTTGTTTCAGTTCCTTGTAGATTCTGGGTGTTAGGCCTTTGTCAGATGCATAGTTTGCAAATATTTTCTCCCTTTCTGTAGGTTGTCTCTTTACTTTCTTTATGGTTTCTTTTGCTGTGCAAAAACTTTTAGCTTGATGTGGTCCCACCTGTCCCTTTTAACTTTTGCTGCATTTGCTTTTGATGACTCAGCCATGAATTCTTCTCCTACTCAAATGCCGGGAGGGTGTTCCCTAAGTGTTCTAAGATTCTTGTAGTTTGACGTTTCACATTTCAGTCCTTGAACTATTTTGAGTTAACATTTGTATATAGTGATAGGCAGGCATCCAGTTTTTTGTTTTTGGTTTTTTTTGAGTTGGAGTCTCACTCTGTCGCCCAGACTGGAGTGCAGTGGCATGCTCCCGGCCACTGCAGCCTCAACCTGCTGGGCTCTGGCGATCCTTCCGCCTCAGTCTTCCAAGTAGCTGGAACTACAGGCGTGCGCTACCATGCCCGGCTAATTTTTTGATTTATTGTAGAGATGAGGTCTTGCCAAGTTGCACAGGCGGGTCTCAAACCCGCGGGCTCAGGCAGTCCACTCACCTCGGCCTCCCAAAGCGCGGGATTACAGGCTGAGCCACCGAGCCCAGCCGATCCAGTTTTATTCTTTTGCATGTGGTCAGCTAGTTTTCCTAGCACCATTTGCTAAATAGTTTCCTTTCCCTGATGTTTGTTTTTATGAATTCTGTCGAGGATGAGTTGGTTGAAGGTCCAGGACTTATTTCCAGACTCTGTCCTGTTCCATTGGTCCGGTGTGTCTATTTTTGTACAGTATCATGCCTTGGTTACTGTAGCCTTATAGTAAAGTTTGAGATCTGGCAGTGTGATTCCTCCAGCTTTGTTCTTTTTGCTGAGGATTGCTTTAGTTGTTCAGGCTTTTTGCTTCCATATGAGTTTTTGTATTGTCTTTTCTAGGTCTGTGAAAAATAATGCTGGTAGTTTGATAGGGATTGCATTGAATCTGTGGATTGCCTTGGGTAGGATGGACATTTTGATATTAATTTTCCAATCCATGAGCATAGGATGTTCTTCCATTTGTTTGTGTCATCTTGATTTCTTTGAGCAGAGTTCTGTAGTTCTTATTGTAAATATCTTTTGCTTCTTTGGTGAAATGGAAGTCGAGGTGTTTTATTTTGTGTGTGTGGCTGTTGTGATGAACAGGATTATGTTTTTTATTTGACTCTCAGCCTGCTTGTTGTTGGTGTATAGAAATACAACTGTTTTTTGCGTATTGATTGTGTATCCCAAGACTTTACTGAAGTCATTTTTCAATATGAGGAGGCTTCTGACAGACTCCCTAGGGTTTTCCAAGTATCGAATCCTATCATCTGCAGAGGGAGAACTCAACTTCCTGTTTCCCTATTTGGGTACCCCTGATTTCCCTCTCCTGCCTGGTTGCTCTGGCTGGGACTTCCAGTGCTATGTTAAGTAGGAGGGGTGAGAACAGGTATCCTTGTGTTGTTCCAGTTCTTAGGGGAAATGCTTTCAGCTTCTGTAGATTGACTGTTCTTGGTAGGTACAGTGTCTCACTCTTTCTGTACTGAGCAATTATCAGGCACAGGGTAGGTGACGGGTGAATATTTCCTGCACTGGCTCCAGCTCCTGATGGTGTGCATTTCTTTTCGAGGCAGTGGCAGCTTGGAGGAGGGAAGGAAACTGGAATGGCAACAAAAGCACTGGGCCTAGTCTGGGCCTGGTCACTTGCTGACCATGGTAGGAGTGGCTGGCATCCACGGTGCCTACTTTTCTCCAGGACCCATGCAAACTTCTTTGTATGCATTTCTGGGATTGTTCGTGGAGCCTGGAAAGCATTCCCATTTTCCTGGTGAGGTAACTCCTCTGTACAGAAAGAGTGAGACACGGTGCCTACCTAGAACGGCCAATCTACGGAAGCTGAAAGCATTTCCCCTAAGAACTGGAACAACACAAGGATACCTGTCCTCACCCCTCCTTCTGAGGCCCAAAGAACCTAATAACTTGCTGAAACCATGGAACCAGTGAGAAACAGAGTCAGGATTTTAACTTCACCCTCAGGGCTCTTTCTCCTCCAGATCGCCTATGACCATCACACGCCGCTCTGGGCCTCCCTTTCCTCTAGCAACATTAGCCACGATTCTGGAAATAGTTCTTGATCCACCTGTCTCACAGACTTGTTTAGGGAATAGGGGAGGTTTCTGATGTGAAAGTGCTTACAGATGATAAGGCCCCATGAAAATCCCCCAGTGAAGTGGTGGTGGCTCCCAGGCACCATGACTGTCCCTGAGTGAGGTGGTGGTGGGTAACTCGCAGCACTAGGGCCCTCCCTGGTTTTCTCACTTTATTATAAGCACCCATCCCTCCTCCTGTTAGCTCCTCCCCTTTGCATGATTCCTGCTGAGACATCCCGTGTCTTACAACACAGTAGATCCCCCTTCTCTGACCCTTGGAGAGACTGTGGTCCTCCCATCGCTTCCTCCAAGCTTTCCCAGAGTCGTTTCCCCGGGCTCCCCACCTGCTGTCCGCTGTTTGTGCGCCTGGCTGTCGACCCAGCTAGTCTGTGAAAGTCGTCCCCACCTGCCAGTCACCAAACTCATCACTCGTTCTGCCCCTCGACATCCCTGATGTCTGCAGTTTTGACGGTGCCCGTCTGTCTTGAGTTTCCTTCTGTAGTTGGTGGTCCGTCTTTGTTTGCTATCATGTAGCTGCAGGGGTGAACTCGAGGCTGTAACATCTCGGCTGTGACCAGTAGCTCCCCTTCTCACTCTTGAAAGCATTTTGGGAAAAGTGTTTGAGAATGAATGAGATAATTAAGGTGCTTGCTGTAGCACTCGCTTTAACTTGCAACGAATATTTGAAAAACTGCTTTAACACCTCAGCCTAAAGAAAGACTCGCCCTCAGGATGGTTTCAGCTCCCAGGCAGTTAAGGAAGAGAATGTCAGCCCCTCTCCTGAGTGGCTGTTGGGACCCTGTCAAGGTTGCTTATCCTTATGGAAGCCTCTGTGTTCTGCTTCCCCTGCAGGGCTGTTTTTGCTATGAAATGAGACACATGTAAAGGGCTTAGCCCCCGCCATGGTGAGCCCTCACCCTGTTAGTTGCTGTCAGTGTCATTAGGAAATTGATTGGGATGGTTTTCAGTTTGTAGACCAAATTAAGGGAAAATGGACATATGTTTAGTACAGGTTGGATATCCCTAATATGAAATCTGAAATGCTCCAAAGTCTGAAATTTTTCAAGTACCGACACGATTCTCCCAGAGGAACATTCCACATCTGACCTCATGTGATGGGTTGCAGTTCAAATGCAATTCAGACTTTGTTTCATGTTCAAAATTATTGGAAATGTTGTATAAAATTAACTTCAGGCTATGTGTATAAGGTGTAGATGGCACACAAATGAATTTTATGTTTAGACTTGGCTTCCATTCCTGAGATACTACACAAACACACATACACACACACACACACACACACACACACACACACACACACACACACACCACACATCTAAAGTCCAAAAAAACTCTGAAATCTGAGACTCGTCTGATCCCAAGCATTTTGGGTTTCAGAGAAGGGATGCTCAGCTGTATTGAACCTTCTCTTGCTGTACAATCATGAGTCTTTGCATTTTAGACTCTGACCTGGATGCCACTGTCAGAGCAATCCTTCTAAAAGCCAGAATTTTGTCATTTCTCTCCTCTTCTTCCTCACTCCTGATAGCAACTGCTTCTATACTCTGTGCTTTCTAGGGGTATGCAGCAAATGGTGGCAAAATCAAGGCCATTCACTCTGTTCTGCTCTCTGGTACCTAGGGAGATTAACAAGAGAGCTTCCATACACCTGTGTCTATGTCTGTACATAGCAGCAGCACAGATCAGGAGGGCTAGCTGGGAGCAGAGGAGTCAGTAGACATGATTCCCCACTGGGAACCAAAATGTAAACTATAAAAATAAAATAAAATTACTAGAAAGAAGAAAAAAATACAGCCTACATAGCCAAAGAAAGAAAGGAAGCATCAAAGAAACAGCAAAACCAGGCATAGTGGTCCACGCCTCTAATTCCAGCACTTTGAGAGGCCGAGACAGGAGGATTGCTTGAGGCCAGGGATTTGAGACCAGCCTGGGCAACATACTGAGACCTTATCTCTACAAAAAATAAAAAGAATGAGCTGGGCATGGTGGTGTGCGCCTGTAGTCCAAGCTACTTGGGAGGCTGAGGCAGAAGGATTGCCTGATCCCAGGAGGTAACAGCTGTGGTGAACCGTGATCATGCCGCTGCTCTCCAGCCTGGGTGACAGTGAGACCCTGACTCAAAAAAAAAAAAAAAAAGAGAAAAGAAGAAAGAAACACAGCAGAGCTATATCGGCAGGAGTGAGGTCACTGGGCTTCTCACATACTGCTGGTAGCAATGTAAATCAAAGCAGCTTTTTGGGAGGACAGTTTGGCAAGACCTGTCAGAAACTTGAACATCTCAGCCTCTTTGCAGCAAGGTCATTCCTCCAGTGTATCTTCTGGATGGGCTTGTGGAGGTGCGACAGAGACATCCACAGAGGGGGAGGCCTTGGTGTAACAGAGATGAGCCAGCCGTAGCGAACCATCCCTGGCTGTGGAGGCGGGCAGGTGGGAGCTTGGGTGTGGCCAGGCAGGGTGCATTTTCTGTAGAAAAGTTGAAACCACTCCGAGAGGCCCTCTGTTTGGGTCCTTCCCACTACTGTGATTCTAAACATTACACGAGAAGGTAGCTGAACCTCCCTTCAGAGATTCAGATAAAAGCGCCTTTGACCCGTTTCTTTCCCGCAGGTTTAACATCGAGCCCAGCCTGTACAGCCCGTTCTTCTCCCTGGGAGCCTGCATGGACGGCCTGAATGTCCTGCTGAACCGACTGCTGGGGATCTCACTCTACGCAGAGCAGCCCGTGCAGGGAGAGGTGTGGTGTGAGGACGTCCGGAAGCTGGTGAGCTCTGCCTGGCTTTGAGTCACCCTTTCCGTGATGCAGTGTGTCCTGCCTTAGTTCTGCTTCCCCCAAATATCCACATGGCTGCTTCTGCTTGAGGACACTGAATAAAGGCTCTAAGCCTGTGATGACAGCAGAGCTGATTCTCTGGAAAAGCTTCCAGGGGAGCTGGATGGAAGCCTGGCAGGTGTACCTTCTGTGTGCGTGACAGTTGTGGGAGTGTTTGTGATAACTTCTTACACACCCTTAGTGCTGGGTGTCCCTTTTGGTGAGGTTTATACCCGTTGTGTCAGCCACCTCTTCTTTCCAATCCCCTGCCATGTTGTAGGAACTTCTGTTTACATCAGGTGTTAATTCACGTGCTGTATGATGATTTATTTCACTTCTTCGATAATAACTTCAAGCCTAGACAGCCTTCTTCTCCCAGTAGGGCCCACTTTATTTGAGGTATGAATATTTTAAGTTTTTTTCTTTAGACTGGAGGCTTTCTTGACCTTTGTGTATCGCTAAAGCTTCATGTTCTGTTTCATTTTTGCTTGCATGCTTACCATGCTGTGTACTTTTTTTTTTTTTACCATATTTTGAGATATAGAAACGATCCGATTGTTTCTCGGCCACGTTTCATGAATGTAGTACAGGTGTGGTAGGGTTGAAAGGACAGTCAGGGTGGAAGGCATTTTTTCACTGCATTTACTCAGCAGAATATCATGAGGAATATTGTGAACTTCCAAAAGGTTCACAGTGAGGAAATGGAGAGATATGCTATCAAGAAAGCTGGTACCAGGAGACTGACGGAACATGCAAGTGATGGAGAGGTGTCACTGACGATGGTATGGGGCCACCGGGCGGTGATGTGTGCCTGCGTGGCCTCTGCTGTGTCCCGGGTCCCCTGAACAGAGCCTGGCACCAAGTGGGTGCTTAGTGGTTGCTTGTTGGATGAGTGAACATGTGCTTGCATGGGCGTTATCTTTGGTGGAATCTCCAGGTTCTCAAAAGACAAGGAGACAAGATGGAAAATAGTGGGTGAGTCTGTCCCACAGCAGGGCCTCTAGTGGGTGAGTGGTCCCCATGGCAGGACCTCTTCTGTTGACCCTTTTTGGAGAGGCAATAAATAATGATGTCCCTGCTTTTCAGCTGCAGGTGGGCATTCCTTTGGCTGTTACAGATTCCAGGGTCATCACCTAGTGGGGCAGGTGTCATGGTCTTCTAAGATCGGAAGGAAACACGTTGCTGCTTAATTTGTGCAGCTGCACTCCCTGCCACAGCTGTGGTGTCTGTGGAGGCCGTGGCTGGCAGAGCTGTTGTGGGGACTAAGAGCCCGTACCAGGAGGACCTCCATTCCTGGACACAGAGTTCCTGCCTCAGAGTCACTGGTGAGGGGGAGCAGTTGGGGAAAGGGAGCAGTTGGGGAAGGGGAGACATCTATCTCAGGATTTTGGGGCTGCAGAAATGAGTTCCGTGTCTCTGTTCAAGGCTGTGGACATGCAGTATACAGACCCTGTGCTAGAAATGTGTTCCTGCGTTTAGTTTCTGATGACCTCCTTTACCAGGAAACTTTATTTTTTCTTCTAGGCCGTCGTTCATGAATTGGAGGGCTTGCTGGGTTACATTTACTGTGACTTTTTTCAGCGAGCAGACAAACCACATCAGGTGATCCTTTCTTTGCAGCCTGGGCTTTCTAGAAGTGACCAGCCGTTCATTTGTAGTAATGTGAACTTTATGTCTTTTTGCACTTCCATGGTATTTAAAAGTTGTTATTGATGGTTATGAAATACATACATTTGAAATTAAGATAGCCAGGCGTGGTGACTCACATCTGCCATCCTAGTACTTTGGGAGGTGGAAACAAGAGAATTTCCTGAGCCTAGGGGTTCGAGACCAGCCTGGGCCACTTGGTGAGACCTCGTCCCTACAATTAATCAAAAAATTAGCTGGGCGTGGTGGTGCATGCCTGCAGTCCCAACTACATGGAAGACTGAGATGGAAGGATCGCCTGAGCCCAGTAGGTCGAGGCTGCAGTGGCCATGAGCAGCGTGTCTCACTGTACTCCAGCCTGGGCAACAGAGTGAGACTCCAACTCAAAAAAACAAAAAGAAATTAAGATAGGATTTAAATGGAAAAGGTTATGGAAACCAGCATGTCAGTCTGTATCTGTCACTTTCGTCTAGATCACAGTATCAGTGATGGCGATGGCAGCTGGCACTGTGTGACCCTTATTTGTATCAACCAGTACACTGCTGAGTTTGTTCTTCACATCAGTCTTTTGATGTTCACTGCAGCCTTCTGACTAGGTTCTAACATTATGAAGAAGCTGAGGCCAGAGAGGTTAAGTTAGTTGCCTGGAATCACATAGCTGGAAGTGCTAGGATTGGAAGGCAAACATTCCGAGGAGGGCCCGCTCTTGACTCCTCCCCACACTTGACAGTGAACCTAGTTTAAGATGGCAGAAGGCACATCCATATGGAAGCCTCCCTGGCCACTGCGTGACTCCATGTGTGGAACATGCGAGGCTACCCTCCTTCGCTCGTATTGCCTGCTGGCTCTTCAGCGGCTTCATGCCCTTGACGGGCAGTGTCCGGAGTTCTGGTGATGAGTTACAGCAAGAATACTGGTGAGTCCACTTTCCAAGGCATTTCAACGGATGTAGGCTTGTGAATTCTGGACAGCAGCCCTTGTGGGATTTGACGAGGGAGCCAGGCAGGCAATGCCCGGAGATGAGCCCACGTTTCAGGCTCTGAGACCTGACCAGGTGGCGGGGATGCCCCTGGGTGCTTGGGCACCCTGGCTTCTGTCTCCCATGAAGCCATCCTAGCGGGTGTCCTTGGACGTGACACTTCACATCCGGAAGACTCAGTTTCAGTTTCTCATGAAAAGCGTGACCCACCTTGCTACCCAGGGCTGTTGTGAGGAGTGAGTGACAAGTGTGTGTGGACCCCAGGGTTGTCCTCCAGACCAGTCACTTCAGATCGCCTGCCTCACGGTGGTGGCTTGGAGCCCTCACCTCCCAGTGGCCTCCTCTGTCCCACGACAGGACGTGGACAGTGCCTCCTCACTCATTAACCAAATGCAGCGGGGACTCAGGACAACTGTCAGCACTCTGCCCCGCCACCGGTGTCTGTCCCATCCCACTTGCTGTGAACGTCTTGAGGGCGTGACTCCAAGCTCTTTTGATGACCGTTACCAGCGTCTGGCATGCACCAGTTCAGTGCATGGTTTGGGGGCAAACCAGTGAATTGATTAGGATAAGTTCAATGTATTATTGGCATTTTGGGGGCTTTTTTGAGTTGGTGTCTCACTCTGTGGAGTGCAGTGGCACGCTTGTGGTCACTGCAACCTTGAACTGCTGGGCTCAGGTGTTCCTTCTGCCTCAGCCTTCCAAGTAACTGGAAAAAAATTCTGACAAATGATACAACATGGATGAAGCCAGATAACATTGCGCTAAGTGAAACAAGCTGGTCACAAAACAACAAATCCAGAAGTCCTCCAAGACTATTATAATCATAAAGATATTTTAAAAATACAATACTGGCCAGGCATGGTGGCTCATGCCTGTGATGCCAGCACTTTGGGAGGCAGAGGCAAGAGGATTGACTCAGCCCAGGGGTTCAAGACCAACCCGAGCAACTTGGTGAGACCTTGTATCTCCAATAAACCATAGAATTATCTGGGCATAATGGTACACGCCTGTGGTTCCTGCTACTTGGAAGGCTGAGATGGAAGAATCACCTGAGCCCAGGAAATCAAGGCAAGCACCACCACACCCAGCTAATTTTTTTTTTTAATTGTAGAGATGAGGTCTTGCCAAGTTGCCCAGGCTGGTCTCAAACCCGTGGACTCAAACAGTCCTCTCACCTTGGCCTCCCAAAGTGCAAGGATTATAGGTGTGAACCACTGCGCCAGGTATGGCGTTTTTTAAAATTAGTATTTTAGCAGGAAAAAAGTGTCAAGAAAAGGTGGCTACCTAAATAGTTAGAATAAGACCAGAATGAAGTTAGAGTGTGAACTCACACCATGGTGTGATTTACGTTTGCCAAGCCTGTCGGCTGCTCGGTTGTCAACGCTCCCTTCCCTTTTGTGTTTTCCGATGCTCACAGGACTGTCACTTCACAATCCGTGGAGGCCGGCTGAAGGAGGGCGGAGAGTACCAGCTCCCGGTTGTGGTGCTTATGCTGAGTCTCCCCGCTTCCTCCCGGGGCACCCCAACTTTGCTGACACCCGGGATGATGGAAAATCTCTTCCACGAAATGGGGCATGCCCTTCATTCCATGCTGGGCCGGACTCGCTACCAGCATGTCACCGGTGAGCCGCCAGGAGGCCTCTGACTAGCGGGTCCTTTAACACGTGTTTTCTGAAATGGGAAAGCCTCATGGTGTCATCATGTTATGTGGCCCTGGGCTCCAGGTCACCTGTCTCGTGTCTGCAGCCTGACCCTAGTCCTTGCTGACAGCTGTGCCCCGAACACAGTCCGTCTGTCTGTCTCCTGCGTTGTAGTGTTTGACGAGGGATTTAAGTTTGTGGCTGTACGTGTATGTGAATAAACACACGTCGCCTTAGTGCCTAGCATAGAGTTAGTAAGTGAATAAGTAAATGAATGTTGCCTCTTTCCATCCAAAATCTGCCAGCAGGTTTAAAGTACCGCAGTACAGTAAAGAACATTTTTCTTATACTTTTCCCTGATTAAAATTATTGTTCTGTGTTGTAGTTGTTGTGCTGATCTGTGGTCACGTTTGACCACTTCACGGACGTTTCTCTCAGGGGTCTGTCTCTGAGTGTTAAGCTCACCATCATATGTGGTCAGCTTTCAGCCAGCTGGTGCACTGCTGGCATCTGGGGTTTATGAATTGCACACACAGTTTTAGGGCAAGGAGAAGGTACTCGAAAAGACTGTAGGTGGGTGAAGCAGAATCTTAAAATGTCACCAAAAGTCCTTACGGGATTTGTTGCTTTAAGTAACTGAGTTTAAACTATTGCTTTTTCTGACTGAAGATTGACTTTGTTACAAAAAGCAATAAGTGGATAAAATAAAGTACTTGTAAAACAAAGGAAGGATTAGAGGCATTAGGTAATGGAATTCAGGGAATTAAGTACGAATGCTAAATTAATTTTAAAAAATGTTTTAACTTGTGTTTCATGTGTAGCCAGCATGGCTGAAGACAGGTTGGTTTGTTTGTAGAGGGTGTGAGCCATTGCTTTATAAGGCGTTTTAGCAGCTGTGCAAATATTTTGTTTTACTTTTGATATAAAGGAAAATATATAGGATTATAATAAACTTTTCTGCAAATATGTACAATAATTTTATAGAAGTTAAATATTGATTTAATGAATTAAAGCTTATCGTAGTTCATCAGAAGTACAAATAAAAGTTTTAAAGGTATGTAAAAAGTAAGATACGTATGTTGAGTTGATTATGCCAACTTTTCTCCTTTTCTCCTCCCCCATCTCAGGGACCAGGTGTCCCACTGATTTTGCCGAGGTGCCCTCTATCCTGATGGAGTACTTCGCCAATGATTATCGCGTGGTAAACCAGTTTGCAAGACACTATCAGACCGGGCAGGTAGGAGCTCTGTGTCGCCATAGTATCCTTCAGGTGGCATTGGTTGGCTTCTGTGCCCAGACACCATCAGACTGGGCAGGCAGGAGCTCCGTGTCGCCTAATGTTCTCCGGGCAGCCATGGTTGGCTTCTGTGCTTGCTGGAGAATCTGGGCTCTTACTCCCTTTCCGAAACTTTTACCCTCTCTCAGCACCCTTTCCTTCTACTGTTTATTATTATTTTTTCTGAATTTTCATTTTTTCTTTCTCCAGACGATAGACTCTTAGTCCTAGCCTAGAGACATGTGTCGGAAAGCAGCTACATTTTGTGATGTGCTCAGCAGTCTGCCACATCGCCCTCACTACCGTGTATGAGGAAGGCACTTTGTCCCCTTTTCCAGAGGAAGAAACAAGCTACTCACATCAAAACACATCACAAAGCCTGAGCTTCTGGATGGTCATGCTCTTGCCTGAACCTTTCTGTGGTTTCATAACACTGAGCTACAGTGCCGTATTTTGCCTGTATATGTAGCCTCTGTGTGATGCTAAGTCTGAAAATGCCTTAATTTTGAGGCTTAGGTTTCAAGGGTGCATTGTGTTTTTAAAGATTTTTAAAGTGTGAGATACCTGGCAGTAAATTAGATGTAGGTTATCACACTGTGGTACTTACGCCAACACTGGAAAGCGTGTCCTTTCTCTCCCTGGGAGCTGTGATTGCCTGTGCTGAGTTGCATGTGGTGGTGTTCTCCCCAGGGTGGTCCTCCTGGTGCAGGGTGTGTTTGTCATTGCATCCTGACACCTAGACTCCTGCTTAGGACAAAAACACACTAAGGAAATGAAGAAGGAATGAATAGAGTTCGAAAAAGGACTGTAGCCACCTTTATCTGTGACTCTTTCTGGTTATGTCTCCAGACATGTTATGTTATTTGGTGGTTTCTTTTTGGATGTGATTTTGTCTGTTATTGTCAACCGTAGAATAGCAGCTGAGCTTCTGAGTGACTGTCTGGGTGAATTTCCATCATGATCCATTTTGGTTGTTAGATGGCAAACCCAACCTGCCTGTGACCCGATTAACCACCTGTGCACTCACTTGCAAAGCATTGCTCTGGAATTGCATGGTCTTGGCCAAGGTCATGGAGGCTTGCACCCCCCAGGCAAGAGCATAACCCGCCCGTGGCTGTGTATGGGGGCTTGGGAACCCCACTCCCCAGAAGCTGCCCCAGCCTCTGTACCGTCTCGCCTATGCCCCCTGGAGCCCTAACTGTCCTGGCACCACCTCCTATCTCCCAGGATTCTTCTCTGTGTTGTTTGTCCCAGGCTTTGCCATCATGTCTCCTCTCGGGAACTGTTTCTGCTCCTCCCAACCCTGCTGTCACTGGCTCTGCCCCATCGTCTCCAACTTCCCTGCCTCCTCGTGATGTGTGGCCTTGCTCAACCTCTGGGCCTGCAAGAAGGTCTGAGATAGACGCTCGAGGAGGGTGGGGTGGGGAGCATAGCCACGGGGCAGGAGGCTGGCCCGGAAGCACTGGGGGCTGGCTGGATGTCAGGGATGAGGCAGCGGAAACATCACAGATGGGTGTCCACAGTGGAAGGTGCTGGAGGAGGGTCAGGTCTTAGAGAGAAGACTTGTGCCCTCGTGTTGAAAGCGCCAGTGAATATCAGTGTTGTCTAGGAGGCCCTTGGCACAACCCATCGAGATTTCAGAGCCCAGTGGACACTGCAGACATGGGAGTCAAAGGTAGAGAGATGGGGCTGAAGATGAGGGTGAGACACTGCGCCGAAAACAGCAGGTGGCATGATGGGACCGCACCAAGCCTGCTTTGCACTTGCCCTAGAGGGACACGCGCAGGGGGCGGGGGTGACCATGGGAGATGGCCTGGAGCCTTTCAGAGCGGTGCTTCAAAAAAAGTTCAGTCGGGAGCCGAAATTCATCATGGATACTAACATCAGTTAGAAAAAAAAATTGCCATCTACCTGCAGAACAAACAAGCCAAGCAGGGCAAGAGCTGGTGTCCAGAGGTGATGTGGCGTCTGGCAGAGGGATGCCCCATGCCTGAGTCCTGCTCAACTCTTCAGGAAGAGGAGCCACGGTCACACTAACTGCAAGAAAGCAGGAGCCCCAAGAGGCTCCAGGACACGAGACAGGAAGAGGCACTAAGCCAGCTGCCTTGAATTCATCCAGGTTTTGGACTCAGTGCCCCCAGGGCCTTGCCTGCGCAGCCTCTCCAGAATTCAGAGTGATCTTGTGATGTGGAGGGTGGGACTTGTGCCCCAGGCAGAGACTGAGCCCTTCCCGCCTCCCTGGGGCCTGTCTCCTCTCGTTCCTCATTAAGGCACCAAGTGGCTTGATTTTTTTTTTTTTTCATTTTAAGGGCAACCCTAACCTTAAGGATAAGGAGTTGATTCCCTAAATCCTAGTCTTTGTAAATAAGTGACATGTAAGCCCATAAGGAAAAAGAACAGGGTTGCGTGTTTATGCTTAATTTCCTATCCTGCTGCATTTCAGGAAAGGATTGTTTTTAACATCCTGAGATACATTCCAGAGCGCTCTCAGCTACAGGACAGCCCTCTGTGATGTACTAGCTCCTAAGGGAGTTTGTTGCTGGAGGAATGAGAAGTATGCTTATCAGATCTGCAGGAGCCCCAGCTGTGCGGATCCCAGGTGCCAGGGGCGCTTGCGTGAGATTCAAGTGTCTCGACAAGCTGCAGCAGCAAAGCTGAAGCGGATTTATTGCAGATTTATCTTAAAATGAGCGCCGCAGGTGTGGAGGGATGCAGCTGGGTGGCAGCTCAGCCTTTAGACCCAACCGATCACGTTGCCCCCGCGGCCATCTCCTTCTGTCAGCAGCAGGGCCGGAGCCATGGCATCCAGGCCCCGAAAGGTCCTCCTCTCTCCCGTGTCTCGGTGTGTGCAGGCTTTGGCCTGCGGCCTGCCTCCTTTTCGATAGCTCCAGGTTCATAGGTGGCTTGCACTTCTGGAAGCAGGAGCCCTGTCACCTACCCCTTCCTAGGATGCAGCTTTTTTTTTTTTTTTTTTTTTTTTAATGTTTTGCTCATTCTGGAATTGGGGGCCCTTGTAGACAGCCTGTTTGTATTCACTGGCTGTATTTGTCTGTTTCCTGTTGCTTCCACAGAATACCTGAAATCGGATACTTTATAAAGACAAGGAGTCTGTTTCTTATAGTCAGGGAGCCTGGGAAGTTCAAGACTGAGGGGCCACATCTGGTGAGGGCCTTCCTGCTGGTGGGGGTGCTTTGTGGAGTTCCTTGGTGGTGCAGGGTCTAACGTGGTGAGGGGGGTGCATGTGTTAACTCAGGTTTCTCTTCTGGTTTTTTTTTTTTTTTTTTTTTTTGGTT